ATTTATTTAACTCAGATCAGTAATTTAGTATTTTAACTCAGATCTGTAATTTAATATTTATCTCAGACTATAAAAAATCCGCAAATAATGATCGACATATATTACCCTAACTATATATCTATATATTATAGCATTGCACACCCTAGCGTAGAATGTATCCTCGTCGGTTATTGGACTCTCATCCTTCTTTTTGAAATGTTCGTAATGCAGGATTCCCTTGCTGAGGTCCGAGCCTTCAAAATTGTAAGAAAAAAAGAATACATATGACTCGTTTTTTTTAAATAATTTGAATTAGAAGTTTATAAATATATATATATAGTATATGATTGTTTAGAACGATAAAAACACTATGTAATCATAATTTTCTATATACATAATATGAAATGCTATATAATTTACATTCTTTTTTAAATATATACAATATATATACTGTATCATATTAGTAATAGAATAATAGAATTAGTAAGCAACATTATAACCAAATCTTGCAAAAAAAAATTTTTGTTGGCATGCAGGAGGTGGTAGGCTAAATTTCGGGATTAATAGTAAATGCGAAGCATAAATTCTTTTATCGTTATAAAATTATTAACTGATTTATAAACCGGACTACTTCAAATGCATCGAATAATAGTAACCGGTTATTAAATTTAGTAAGTCGCAAAAATATTTTTTTCAATATGGTTTATGCAACTTGATTAGTCAACCAATTCTATCGATAATAGTGATAGATTGACCGATAAAATGTATTATTTCTATAAATGTTATGGTCTTATACGTCGTACGTGCATACTTTGCATAACGCTAATTTCTATATTATATAATACGTACCTAGTTTGGCCTCTTTTTTTGATAACGATAAATAAATCGATTTCTCGATCTTTCATTTTTTCAACACATTATTTTTCATACAAAATTATTATTAAACCAATGTCACATTCAAGCAATCACAATGATTCTCAAGAAGCAACGGAAAATAGCCCATTGCTCCCTGAAGAATCAATTGATCTTACTGATCAAGAAACATCGAAATTGTCATTTATAAAAGATTTTCGAAACCCTCATGTTCTATGGATGATTGTCTTTAGTTTTACTTTATCAACTATTATGACTTCTATAATAGCTCCTTTAGGTTCGAATGTTATAAAAATTATCTCCATTATTCTCATGATTTGCTAAATAATTTTCTCATTAAATATAATTTATATGTGTTATTTCATTTGTCAGTGCAAATTGTCTTGGATGTTGTATGCTTAGAGTACTATGAATTAAATGACAATAACATGAATAGCACAGATATTTTATCCAATTTAATAGAAAAAGATTGCAAAGATCCTCAAATTTTCTCTTTAGCTGCAACTCGTTTGATGTTGTATCAGATATGTTTATATGTTTCAGGTTGTAAAAGAACTTATGAAATTTCCTCAACATTAATTTTCATTTCTATTACATAAAGACTTGTTATCTAATTATCAGTTACTTTTTTTTTCTTTCGGCATTTTTATAGCAACATTATCAATAGGTTACATTTCAACACTCTCTGACTTTAAAGGTCGTAGATTTGTGTTTAGAATATCAACACTCGGTATAATATTCGCTTGTTCTGTTGTAATTCTTATGTCTCATCACTGGAAAGTTATTGGGAGTAACTTTTTATTTATCGGAGCAATTGTCGAAGGATTACTTGGAGGTGTGATTGCTATTAACACGGCATGTCATGCATATATAAGCGATTGCACTAAACCTGTAAATAGGAGTGTTGCGTTTGGATTTATGCATGCCTCAGCATATTGCGGAATGTCAATTGGTCCAATATTAGGAGGTATTATTGTTGAGGTATATTTCAAGATATTAGTCAATTAAACCTTATATTATTATCTTCATATTTATTATTATTATTATTTAGGCCACTGGATCCGCTCTTTCAGTATTTTACGTTGTTATTTGTGCACTCTCTGTATTTTTTATTTTTGTATCATTTATACTTCCAGAATCACTTTCGCCAGAGCTACGTCTTCAAAACGAATCATCAACTTCTTTTCCATCTCCAAAATATATATTTTCAGCTTTAATTATTCTTAATCAAACACCTGTATATTCTGAAAACATTAGAAATAATATATGGAAAAGAAATGTGTTGTATATTCTTTCAATAATTTATTTTATCTATAGAGTATCACAAGCTGGTAAGAGTTTAAATTTTATTTTAAAAAATATATATATATTTTAAATGTATACTATTAATAACGTCAATTTCTATTATTTAAAATAGGTCAAAATGATATAATTGCATTATATACAACGCGAAAGTTTGGCTGGACAACTTTAGAAAATGGATTTTTTTTCACTCTCCAAGCATCAACTAGATTTATGGCGCTAATAGTCCTTTTACCTTTAATTCGCTTTTTACAAGGAAAATATCTAACTACTTATTCACGAACTTTAGATCTTGTGATGATGAGAATTGGGTTGATAATAGAAATAGCCGGTTTCACATTATTTGCCACTGCAATATATCCTAATATGTTTTACTTTGCTTGTGTGGTAAATAGTTTAGCTACGATAGCAACACCAGCAATTAGAACTTTATTTACTATATTTGTCTTGCCTACACAAGCAGGACAAATATTAGGTGCTATGAGTGTTATTGAAAGTGTGGGAAGTATATTGAGTCCTTTATTTTTGAACTCTTTGTATAGTATTTCCGTATTGAGAGGATTTGATGAAATCGTGTTTTGGGCAAATAGTTTGTTATTTGTTCTTGCTACTTTTTTGGCGTTTTTAGTTTTATAGCCAAAATAAAACCCGAGTTATTAGGTATAATATTTACAAAGAAAATAATTTATATTTTAGAATAAATGAGTGACAGCAAGAGAAAACCTGTAAGTCATGCTTTTTGAATATTTACTTTAATAAAATTTCTTAAAAAGTAATTAACACTTAGGGGTTTGATATTACAGTCAACCCTCCATAAATGCACACCCTCTCTAAATTAGGGGTCTGCAAACCGGGCTCGTGCCCATGCCCAACAAAAGTTACGTACGGGCATGGGCATAGGCACGGGCATAAGAATTTGCCATAGGCATGGGCATGGGCACAAAACTTTGGCATGGCATGGCATGGGCACAAAAATTTGGCACGGTGTGAAACCAGAAACGTGACCTGAAGCAGGCACGTGCCCTCGTGATTTCGGGAATTATCAAATTTAGCTTTCCCGGCCCGATTTCACCGATATTTCCGATCGGCTCGATTCTTCCGATAATTCCGATCGGGTTGATCTATGCAATCCCACCGATATGATAGATATCATTGATACCACCGATAGCACTGATAGTAAGGATCGAAACGATCCTAAGAATGTAAATAAACGAAAGAATAATTATAAATAAAGGCCTTTTTGGCCCTGGGAAGGAATAACTTCCGCTTTTTCTTTATTAATCATTTAATCATACAAATTACTTTTCATTCTTTTTATCATACGATTGCTCTTCATAAATCATACGACTACTTCTCATAAATCTTACGTTTTCTTACAATAAATCATACCAGTCGTTTTTAATAGATCACAAACTTCTTTACCAAACTTAAAGTTTGATAAAACACTTTCGTTACGCCCAATACTAAACTTATATAAGGCCTAAGTTCTGACCCGAAATTATACTACTCGACTAAATCTAACACGCCTTTTTCGACACCGAGTAACCTAATCTGTAGTTACACAAACCTCCTACCGGTTTAGCGACAGACTCGCCAGTTTGGGTCTGACAACGGTCATGGGCATGGGCACCAGGCACAAAGATTAAGGGCTGATGATCTTCTTGATCCATCCCAGGGACCCGTAAAATTTTTAATAAAGTTAATCTCTACTAAAATGTTTCGAGAAATAAATAGAAGAATTCCCCGTAATCGCATATGGAAAGTCGAGAAATAAAAAGAAGAATTCCCCGTAATCGCATATGAAAAGATGAACTCAAAAAATTAAAATATAAAGAAATGTGCAATTCATAAGGTAGTGATATACATTTATATTTACATCCTACCTTGGGCACTCATTATGCTTTGCATAAACTTCGGAAACCAGTCTTTTATATCGAATACCTGACTTTTCCATTAATTGCCAACCGGAAGGAGGATCTAATTCTTCTTGTGAAGTGGGTCATTAAGGGGGCCCAAGAAGAGGGGGTCGATATTGAAAAAACTATTGAAAGTGGAATGACAGCTAATTTAGCGGCTACAAATATAAGATTTATGATGTAATCTATTATTATAATAAATTATTTTCTTTAATAAAAAAAAAATTTTTCGATTCTTTCAACTAGTAAAAAAAAAAAAAAAGCGAAATTAGGGTATTTGTAAAGTTCACTTCATCATTTATGCCATTTATGGCCTTTATTCCTTTAATGACATTGATGACATTAATGGCACTTCAGGAATTAATGCCATTTCGTTACGAAGTTCAATCTTAAAATTTGTATTGATATAAACATGTTAAAACTATAAAAGCGACTTTTCTTCACTTCAATAAAGATAACTCACTTGGAGTTGAGAACTCACTAGAGTTCGACTCATAGAGTCTATTGTCCTAACCTAAACGTTTCGCTCTAATTACCTCCCGAGAAGTTAAATTCGCATATAGTTAGAAGTCTAATTCCGTGATTCCTAAGTAGGAGCTTCGTGATGTAGTCTAGAGCTCTATTTGGCCCTAATAACTCTTTCGACCGGGTAAAATCGCCACCAAAAAAGTTTCAATCATCACATGATAAATATGTTGAGCACCAAAAAAGTCATTTAACTTGAACAAACAAAAATTTACAGACTAAAAAATAATAACGATAAGCAATAAATTAATTATTATTTCAAATAAACTCAATAAACGGATTTTTCTAGTATTTGGAATATTCCATTGCCTTTTAAAATGATTATAATCATCCTCCAATTTATGCAATGGCTCAA